TCCCCCCCCCCCCCCGGCAAAAGCCATCAAGTGGCTGGCACAAAACAAGCCACCTGGAAGGGCTGGCAGTGTTTTATCTGCGGCAGGAGGTCCCCTGGATTAAGTGGCTTGTCCCCTCCCATGCGTCACTCCGCAGCCCAAACGACTTCAAAACACACGCGAGCACAAACCGAGCCTCCACCCTTGGACAGCACCAAAAGGGGAAGGTATTTCCCATCCCCACCACTGCACACTTTTGAAATGAATCCTGGACGTTGCTGGGCACTGGCTCTGAAGGGACCCACAGCAGGTGGATCCCAGGCCCCAGCAGTGACCGCCACCAGGACAGCCATGGACCACTTTGTACTGAGCCACCAGCAGCTGATGTGTCCTTGAGGGCTGGATCCAGCCAGTGCTGCCCTGTCGGGGGGTTACATGGTGCTGGGCTGACACCCCTTCGCCAGGGAGGACCCAAGCCTGAGCTGCTCGTGGTCTCCCCAGAGAGAAAGCAGGAGCCAGGGTCAGCCCAATGCATAGCCATGTCCCTGCCCCCCCACCCCCACCCCCCAGCCCGAACCCAAAAAGTGATGGCTGGCTGGGGAGACCAACCCACCCCTTCCATAGCACCCTCCTGCCAGAAAACACCCTAGAATAACAAACCAACAGACAGTGCCAAAACTGCCTCCCCATCTCTCTCTCAATAACCCGTCCATAAATGCATCATCACAATGGGTGGAAGATGTGCGGTGGCAAGACCCCCCCAGTGTCCCCAGCTCAGTGCCTGGGCACTGCACCATTCCAGGATGGGAACGGAGCACTAACAGCCACGGAGTGGGTGGTGCAACTCCCACAGCCCCTGCCCAGCCCTGTGGGGCAACACCAGGTCAGTCGGGAGGAGCAGGTACCCCAGGAACGATCTGCCCCAGCACCCTGCCCTAGGAGCAGGGTTTGGGCAGTGGGAGGCAGCCGGGCAAGGGGACCCTCTGTCTGGCTGGGAAGCAGGAGGGTGAACCCTAGCTAGGATAGGGGGATGAGCCAGATGATGGGGCAGGGCAGGCCCAGGGGGTCATGGGGAAGGGGTCAGAAAGTTCCCAGAATATGCTGTTTTCAGAAGAGCCCCTGTCCCATCCCAGAACATCACCTTTTTCCTGAGAGGCCAGAGGCACATCCCCAAGCTCCCCCCACCAGACCACAGCCCTGGGTCCATCCAGGCAATGATGCTGAGCCCAGCTGCCCCTACAACCTGCAGCTCATGATCACCCCTGCACAGGGCTCAGCTCCGAGCAGGGTCCATCGCCGCCCACTCTGCTCCCCCTCCGCAGCACCCAGCCCTGGGCAGTACTGCCTCCTGCTCAGGGGGGGCACAGCTCTCCGGGGTCTGCTCTGAAGGCCAGCAGGAAGAAGAGAGAGCACGCTCCCCCCACCACCCTGGGGAGGTCAGGATGGGTCCCGCCAGCAGCAGCTCTGCAAATGACCCTCATCAGTCAGCAGTGACAGCCCGAGTGTAACCAGGGCCAAGGTGCCTGCAGCAGCCGCTGGGGCCAGACGGTCATCCATTAGGGGAATGAAATCAGAGCTGGCATCTCCCAGGGCGGGGGACGGGTGGAGAGTCCCTGTCCTGGGGGTGGCACAGGGGCAGCCTCCACCCAGACACCCAGAGCCAGCAGGGCTGGAGGAGTTGGGAGCAGCAAAGCTGCTGTGCAAAACCTGCCTTCATGGGACAGCAGAGACTCAGGGCTGGGATGTTCCCTGGTGCCAGAGAGGGGAGAGTGGCTGCACAGCCCTTGTGCCGAGCAGGCCCCAAAGGGAGATGGGGGCATGGGCCAGATGGGGCTGCAGAGCAGGGCTTGCAGGGCTGCTGTCCCACTCCCATCCCCAGCCTGTGACAGTGCTCCCAGACAGCCTGGCTCTGCCCAGAGGAGACACTGGCAGAATAGTAATTTCTCAGGCCACGCCAGGTACCAAATGTGGAAAGGAATGGGACAGGATACAGGTGCCAAGGGACAGTGGAGCCCAGGGGCTCCCCAAATGGAGCAGACTGCGGGACTGGGACAGCCACATGCATTGCCCTGCCACAAAACCCACTCGCAGGGACACGTCCTGCCCTGTCTCCATCAGCAGCTCTATGGCAGGGGTGCCTCTGGCAGCAGGAACCGGCACTTCCAAGGTGCCAGAGCAGCTACCCAAGAAATGCCCCCACAGAGCAGCAGCTCTTCTTGGCTGCAGGCAGTGTGTCCCGTAAGAGAGCTGGTGCTACCCAGATGCCATCCACACCCTCCCAGTAAGGCACAGGGATGAAGCCTGGACATGCCTCAGCCACAGCCCAGCCAGATCACAGGCAGCTCAGGGACATCCTCCGTCACAAGGGGGTTGAAAGCACCTCCTGGGCACACTGGCCTCCTCCCCTCCCTCTGCTCAGTCACTAATTGCTCCTCTGATCAACCCTACTCACACATCCTCCCATCCCAGCTCCCATCCCAAGATGTGGCTGCCGGAGGGGATGCGCTCTGCAGCCCCTTCATCTCGCAGTATCCCAAGAACCAGCCAGGAGGCAGAGGGGATGGGGGCAAACAAACCCCAAATCACACCCATGCAAAGTCTGTTGGCAGCCCTTGTCTGAGCCAGAACTGTCTGTGGCTCAGCCAGGGAGGGCAGCCAAAGCAGAGGAGC